AAGTTTAGTAAAACCTAATATTTATATGTTAAAATACTAAAATAGGAATAATAAAAAATACTGTAAAACCAATAAGAGTAACAACAGATAAGCATAAAAATAAATAAATAAAATCTGCAAATTACAAACTGATACATAGTTAAAATAAACTTACCAAAGACAGAGACAGCCACTATATACTAAGTGTGTTATCCACCAATAAAACATACAAAAGGTAAGGTCAACTGCTCACATTTCAAATTATTTTAAGGAAACCCTCTTGCGGTTATTTAACATTTCTTCATAGAAGCATTAAAATGATCATTGAAATAATGTTTCATGTTTAATTTAAGTATGTATACAACTAAAGAATGGAATTACTTATGAAATTGGGATCTCGGTGAAATAATCACAATGTTCTAATCAAAAATTGTTTACCATACACACGTGTATATTTAGTTGTTGTTTTTTTCTACTTCATTAAAAATATATACTTCACACACAACATAGCAATACTGCTAATATATTTCTTTAAGAGTTTAACTTAAGGAGCAAAGAGACTTATTACAACTTCTAATCTAAAACTGTAAAATTTGCTCAAATAATCATTTAACTAGATAACAAAAACCGGCAATTATAAGAAAATGAAGATGTATCTACAGTAATCGTATTTCATAATTGCAATAACATCCATATTTTTTAAAGGATGTCCAAGTATTGTCTTAGTATTTACTACTGTATATGTAAAATACGAATGTTATACTACAGTGTAACAAATGTGAACAATCAACAATTTTGTGGTATCATTATTAAATAACACAGCCATTAAAAACTTTTTTTAATGTAGCAACTGTGGGACTACTAAAATTGTTTGGATAGAAATGAACGTATGATGTTCTAATTATCCGTCAACCTTCTGGAAATGCAATTTAAGATATCAAATGAATAAGTTATTTGAAAAATTAAGTCATTATAATGGTGTTAATAGTGACTGATATTTTTATAGTTTCTTTGTACACACACATATTTATTCAGATTAGAAAAATAATTTGAAAATTCTAAAGAAAATAAAAAGCACACTATATTACTACTAATATTTTAAATAAAGTTGCATAACACAGTAACATGGTTAACAAGAATGTGCATGAAAATTTAACAAAAACATTACTTGGATTAGGTTGAAGAACCGCATCTGTTCTTGATACAATTCTCTCTGTCCAAAGTTTGGTTTTATCAGCTCGTTGAGCCAAACTTTCAAAATGGGCATCAAGTTCAGTCTTTTCTGAAGTGCCAAGCTTTTCTTCTGTATACTAAAACATAATAAAACACTCACATAGTTAAATGGCTTTGTATTAGTAGTGTATTAATTTCATGCATCTTAGTACAAGCTTTTCCAGTAAGGCAAAGTAAATAAGAATGTACTATCTGAAAAAATTTGTCAAAACAGTTTCTTTATGTGTAATGGTTGAGAAGAAGTACTGGAACTCGGGGACTGAACAAATATTAAATTAAGGTTAATAAAATTACTGATGGACACTCACTGCACCATTATTGACAAATAAAAAAGCTGTATACATCTATTAGTTACATAACTCAACCAATATACATTTATATATAACAAATACATATTTTCAATATTCATACAAGTCAGATGTAGAGCAGGTTTACTTAGTGACCTCAAAGTTGAGACACTAGAATTTAGAACATATCTTTAACTCATTCACTACCATGGACACACACTGGGAACACAGTATGCAACCTGTTTTTATTCAATACTTTTTTTAATCTGAGAACATAATCACTTGTGAAGTATTTCAGGCAATTAGTTCTAAATAAAATAAATTATGCTGATGTGATAAGTGAGCTATAAGTAATTACATATCCCCACATGTTTTTGTGCATATTTAAAATAAATCTGCTACTAGTTATTTGTATAAAGACTTGTACTCTTTTGACTTATAAACAATAGGGTCTATAAATACACCTTAAAATTGTATTCCTCAAGTGATTTATCTGAGGCCTTCATTCTATCAATCTCTCAGATAATCTAGCAAACTTCAACAAAATCACTTCTTATTCTTTTCTCAAAGAAGATACGAGATTTTAACTAATCCATGTAAGATAACATTTCAATAAACCAGAAGCATCCTAGTAGGCCAATTCTGAACTTTTTCCAACAAGTCAATATTCTGTTTTAGATATGGAGACCAAAAGTGTACAGTATTCCATGCGAGGCTTTAGTGAATTGCATAATGAAATAACTAACTCTTTTGACTTGTAATCAACATGTTTATAAATACACCCTAAACTTGTATTAGCTTTACTACTAGCAACAGAGCATTGCCTCAAAGACATTAATTATTTATTCACTAATATGCCAAGATCCTTTTCTTCAGTCACACTACTGAGTTGGTTCCCATCTATATTAAACATATGATTCAAATTATAACCTAAATGCATTAACTTGCACTTACTATAATTAAAGGTCATTTGCCAAATATCCATCCAACTAACTAACTGATCCAAGTTATTCTGTTGTACCTTAATATCTTTAATACAGCTAAAAATACTAAACTTTAATGATATTGTCAAACTTTACTAGTATGGAAATTATAGCTCTATTAATATAATTGTTGTAAATATGAAAAATTAAAAGCTCAAAAATTGGCTCCTGAAGTTCTTTTAATAGTAATGATCTTATAATCCAATATACTAGTCTTTTCCAAACCCCCACCAATGTGAATTTCTTTGTTAATCTTTTGTGTTGAAAATTTATGTATACTAAAGACCACACCTTTTCTGTCCTTCAGAAAACAGGTAATATGTTTGAAAAAAGCTGACAAATTAGTAAGAGAAGCATTCCCTTTAGTGAATCCATGTTGATTTCCTTTCATTGCATCATATTTCAATGATGAATTTGCACTTAACTTGAAAAACCAAATGAAACAGATCAAACTATGATCAATAATCATGCAGATCTTGTATAACTTTCAATTATTATGTTAAAACATAACTATACACAATTCTATACAAAGGAGTTTGGTTGGAGTAGTGCACTAACAGATAAAAAGGTGGAGAAGGTATATTAATTCTTAATATCTTTACACCACAATCCCTATTATTAAAACAGTCAGAAACAGGCCAGAAAATTATAGGCCTATTAATATTACTTCTATCTATTGAAAGGTATTAGAATTTATTATCAGAGATCACTTATAAAATCAATTTAGTACAAAACAGTCCTCACAATAATTTTAGAAACAGGCTTTACTGACTAAAAACATATTGTAATTTTTACATCAGAGCATGTTGGTTGATGATATAAATTTGACTTTCTGAAAACCTTTGATAAGATATCACATATAATTAATTGGAAACTTAGATGCTTTTGAAATTCGTGAAACATTTTGAAGTGAAATGAAAACAAGCTTTGTGGTATAAAGTGAACATTGACAATTAATAAGCATTTTCATGATTGGGTAGAGCTGGACAATTAGTGGTGTTTGCTAATCAATTAATTTACAAGCCCATTAATTAATTACATTCCATTAGAACAATTTTCCTCAAACCATGGTATGTGTTCACCCATACAAGAAAAAAAGAAGAGAAACCTAAAAGTTGATGCTGCCATGCCATCAGTTGCCTTCCCTCTAATTAGGATTTCAAAATTATTGACAGTGGCAGATACCCTTAGTAGTTTTACCATAACAAAGACAGGGTAAGCACAAAGCACCCCTCCCCAAAATAATAAAGACCATAGTGACTCAAAGCTGATACCTGAAGTAGGCAGAGCACAGATAGCCAATTATGTAGCTTTATGCTTAAACAACAAAGAATATGTAATGACAATATTTTCATTACTTGTATAGTTGGAGTAATCAAAAACAGTGATAATCAGAAACCCTAACTTCAATTAGACATTTTTGTGACAATCGATTTAACCATATCTCAATTAATCAAATTTTTTGCAAAGAGGTAACTCCTGACTTTCAACTGTCATGAACCAAATCAAATATTCTCAAACAGTTCCTCTGTGGTTTTCACCAGAGAAAATCTAGGCTTAGATTTACCAAATTCATCATTAATAGGAGGGCAACATAACCTCCATGCTCAATGAATACTAGCACATGATCATAGGCTCATTCTTTATGAAGCATACAAAATGCACTGGAAGTTGGGAGGAAGAGTTGTTGCAGAGAAATTAGTATCTATATGAAATACCTTTTCAGATATTGAAAATGTCAACTTTAGAAGTGGGAACACCCCCATAAATGATCCAGCGAGAAAAGGGCAAAGAGTATGAATGTGGGGACACCTGGAAGGAAAGCATCCAGGCCAAGGACATTCCAAGAACAGAGAAACCAAGTCAAAACAGAGGCAAAGAGAAAGAAATAAAACCCAAAGGTAACATCATGGATGGAAAACACCAGCAGTGAATATCTTGTCATATCATGTTTACCACAGCTCTATAAGATCATGGTAATTTAATATCCATTATACTTATAGTGCCTTGCCACAGATGGAAATCCAAGACTAATCACACACTAAGTGAGCTAAAAGATCATGTCTGAACATCAACTCCATGAACAGGTAACGTGCCTCTGATCACCAATGACTCAGTTGGAGGTAAGAGCTAAAGAGAGAGGAATGTCTGTGCCTCAGAAATTTTTTTATGAAGTCACTGGTATTACCAGCACAAAGAAGAAATATGGTGGCCATAGAAAACAATGTTGCAATCAGGTGAATGGAATGAAAATGCAACAAGGACAAAGGTAACATAGCACAAAACAAAGAAAGGCAGTCAATCAAAAAAGTTATATATCTAAACACAGGCAGTGCTGAGGAAAGAATGAGTGTAGGATCATGTGCTAGTGGTCATGAGGATTACTGCACATGAAAGTCTTGTCACCCTCCTACTGGTGGATGGCAACAGCATTATGACAGTTACATCAGAGACTGAAACAACATATGTAGCAGTGGGAGTTTGCACAAGAAATTCCATGGCAGTTGCACATGAGGTAATAACTCTTAGTAGTTCTGGGAGGTAAGTAATGTTTCTGAATTTAAATTTTATTCTATATAATTGGGATTATGGCTAAAAATACCAATCAAAACTCATAATGAATAGAATTCATTGGTTCATCAGTTAGGTACTTTCTATTTGTATTGGTATTTTTAGCCATAATCCCAATTATTTAGAATAAAATTTAAATTTGAAGATGTAATTTTATTTCTAGAAACAAAACTCATAATGAATAGAATTCATTGGTTCATCAGTTAGGTACTTTCTATTTGCTTTCTAGAAATAAAATTACATCTTCAAATTTAAATTTTATTCTAAATAATTGGGATTGTGGCAACAAATACTGATACAAACAGGGGGTATCCAACTGATGAATCAGTGCTTTCTATTCAGTAGAAGTTTTAGTTTTATTCCATTCTGTACTCTGGTTAGACTTGAATATTAATTTATCTATATTATATACATGTCAATTATTACTTCTGTTCTGTATAGGTAACTTGCTTTGATAAAAAGTTATTAATATGATACCTAATTCGGAATAAGTTGTAACATCCAGAAGATACATTTACACATCTGTGTGTGTGTGTGTGTGTGTGTGTGTGTGCAGTAGATTTACATGTACTATTGCTAGAAACTGGATTTCTATCCAAGAATATCATAAGTAGAATTACATATGTGTTAAAAATATTGGAGATTTTACCATGGAAAAGTTGTTGTCAACTTCAATATTAAAATAAACTCTTTGTTGAGAAATTTAATTTATTGCTACAATATGTTACCACAGTTAGTAATATCATACCTGTTTGGCACGGCTTATAGCTCCACCAAAATTTGAAGAAAATTTTTTTCTAAGTTCCATGAGAACTGATATACTGATACACTAGCAAAAGCACTTAATGTCTAACACAGTGATACACAAGCTAAGCAATTTTGAAATACAGCTGTAGCAGTACATCTTAAAACACCTGTTGTCACGTCACATCTCGCAGTACAGGCCAATGCAAATGTGGCTCTCTTAGTGGTAGACTGTAACCTACAATATGCACATTCTGGGAGAGGTAGTCTCAAAACAGTTCTTTAACTAAAACACTTAAATATAATGATCTCTTACATGTTTGTGCTATATGAATTCATCTATTATACTGAGCTTGCAATGTTATATCACTAAAGCCTGAAACACCTTCAAGTGCGCATTCTTTCCACCACTCTCTTAGTTCACATTCTACCTATATACATACCCAAACTGTTACAACACAAAAACCAATAAACACTTTTACAGTTATATAT